GGCAGAGCCGTGCTCTTGTAACCACAAAGTTATAAAAAGAGGTTTTTAAAGATTGAAAGATTAGACATAGACCTGTATAAAAAGTGATCTCATGGTTTGCTCTCTAAGCTATGCTTCCTAAGTTTTATAACAGAAAAAAACAGGAAATTAATTCAGATTTCAGGAAATTAATGTCTGAAAACGATGTCTATCATCCCCATGAAATCTCTTTGAAAGCAGAGGTAATTTCTGTCTGGTGGCTGTGTTCAGCCGTTGAAAATTGATGGGTGCTTGTCAATAAGACTGACCCCAGAGAATTCCATTGCATCCAGCACAAATGCATGTGGAATATGAAGAAAACAGGATCTGGTCATTTGGTATCCGAGTTAAGGTTTCAGTTTTTATCAGTTTTAATAGAAATTACATTTGTAGATTCATTGGTTTTAAAAAAAAAAAAGGTACATTGCATGATGTGTACCAATAAATTGCTATTTTCCAACCTGAAGGTGTTTGAATATAGTGCAGTGGAAGAATTCAGGGGAAAAGTGTTTGATTAAGAAACAGCCAGGGCTTAAAGATTTAGTAYGCGATCTTGGTTTTAGTCCTTTAAGATGAAATGGCCTTTGTAAATATAATATAACTTTGGAGATACAATGGCTTAATTTATACTCTATGTGGGTGTTTATACTGTGATTTCTGTTGTGGAAAGTTTTCAGTATTTGCTTTCGAGTGTTTAAGAGCTTTCAATGACTTGAGAAGATCTACAGTTTGTAGGGCTAGGTTAGTCAAAAGTCAACCATCCGCTCCAGAAAACAGATATGAAGTTGTGCAATTGCAAATGATGCTCTTCATATAGATATCAGATATTTGTATTCAGTAGATATCTTTGTCTGTTGTGGCAAAGGAGTGGGTGAAGCGCCACGTTGCAGCTGGCCTGTGCTGTGTGCGCTATGGAAAGGTTTCCAGGAGCAGCCAGACAGAACTGATTTGGGAAAAGAGATATTTCTGGCTTTCCCACTGTGTGCTTTGCCCAGAAAGGCTTTGACAGCTTCGTCCACCTGCTACATGCAAAACAGAGCTTTTATTTATTTATTTAGTTTAATATCAAGTGATGCAAKTTTGAATTGCTTAGATATGACCATGAACCATTTCCATCCCAAAGGAATAAGGTGCATCTCCCAGGAGAATGCATCCTTGCTAAGGGTAGAAAGAGCTTTGCAGAGCAGGGGCTGCTCGGACTCTGACTGTTCCCTATTTGTAGTCCCTTTGCAGACCATCTGCCCGTGCAGCAGGAGGGAGGTGAAGAGAAACACCTCCTGCCCCAGGAGCCGGTCCGAGACTGGTCTCCCCTTGCCAGATGGATGCCATGAGATCCTGCCAGACACGGAGCACGCACATGGACAGGCTGTCGAGTCACTTCTGGAGGCAGATTTTACATGTTTGGAGATTGGGCCACCAAGGCCTTCAGTAGCAAAAAGAAGTGTTTCAGGACCAACTCCAGTAATTACAACAAAAATTGACTAAAAGAGCTTCTGAATGTATCCAAGCATTGCTCATGGTGGCACAGAAATCATCTTGGTTTAATAGAGATTAATCAATCTCTGCATAATCAATACGATTGATTTTATTTTTATTGTTGTTGGTATTAATAATGTGTTATTATCAGTATGATACCTACGTGTACCATACATAGGTAGGTGTCACAGAGTTCTTGCACTCTGCCAGAAACTGGCAGAAATTGGTTTGCTTGCTTACATTCCAAATGCAATGCAGTCTTCTTTGTAGATCTATACGAGTATCCTTAAGTGGTTTTTTTGACTTGGAAAAGAAATMCTGTGAGAAATCTTGATATAGGAAAGAAAAATCTGTGATAGCATCAGTGGCAGGAAACTAAAGTGCTGATGGAGCCCCTGTTTGGGTTGGGAAGTCGCCTGGCAAGCAGTCCCGTCCAAAACACTCTGGCATCTCACCTGAGATGACTGCAGAAAGAGCTGGGCAGTCGTGCCATGAGAGAGGAAGATCTGACAAGATTCTCTSTGAGATAAGAAATAATTGAACTCCATATCAAAGCCAAAAGAGATAACAAAAGATGGAGTTCGGTTGACCCAAATATGCAGTCATCTTCAGCAGCAACCAGGAGGATATAGCAGGAACAATGTGTGATTTGACAAGAAAATTTCTAAATATTTGAAAGGAAATATGTATTTGTATAAGCAAAGAGAATTTTAATGACATGAGGCAGAATTGGACTATGTTATTTATTTGAGTACAAGCTTTAGGAGGGGACTCAAATAAGCAATGAATTTGGCTTGCTTTTCTGTCATAAGTATGCTGGGATTTTTGCTGCAAGCAATGCACACACAAGTTGATTCTAGTTTCATCAGCAAGCATATATGTTAAATGGGTTGTAAACAATTTTGCTTACTTCAAGTATCTGAAATTCAAAGCTTGGTTTTCAGTCGAGCTTGAAAGACCTCAGCAGGATCACTCTAATTTCCAAATTATTTCAAAGAAAAAGATAAAATAAGGTTGCTGATTCTCGTGGGGGAAAAAAAAGGGAAATTGGAAGTGAAGTCCTGGGTTGAAAAGCTTTGAGAAGAGTTCAGGAAGGTTTAAGCAAATTGGAACGGAATTCAGAAACTCTTTCCAAACTGTTTCATTCCTGGATACTCAATGCTGTTTTTATTAGATAAACTGTCATTCTACTAAATAGGCTTTATTCAGACAGCAATTTCATTTCGTTGCAGACAATGAATTGATAGTCATTTTTTTATTAGGGGAGAGAATTTTTAATAGTAGAAAGCATCTCCTTTTGCAGAGACTTCCACCAGGAGGTAGAAAGGAATTCAAAAAATTAATTSTTATGTTGATTTCTGTTCTTTTTTGTGTATAAGAAATCAGTTTTAGTGACAAAAATGTGTTAGATTACAAGGAGATGGATAAAATGTGAGAAGCTTCTGACCACAGGGGCAGATCTCAGACCTATAGGAATGAGCTCCAACTTGGTAAGGTCGCTTCTTGTCTTTCCTTCTTTCCTTCCTGTCCTTCCTTCTTTCTGCCTTGCTGGTTCTGGTGTCTTTCTTTGGCCCCTGCAAGAAATAGGGTGTGAACTTCCATCTGGAACTCGAGACCTGCAGATCAATGAGAAGCACCTAGTGAGAAGAGAGCTTCTGGTATGAAATATTGCACTTGAATGATAAAAAGGACAAGAGTAGAATTTTTTTCCTGTTTTCTTAGAAATTTCCTACAAATGCTGTAAGGCTTCCACTACTCATGAAAACAGTACACTTGCAAAGTCTTTCCTTAGCCTAACCTCATGAAAATATTGAGGACTTCTCTTCATTGTGTAAAAAAAATATACCATGTATTGAGAAATGCAGTGGATTTATAATTGTGAACGCACACACTTGAGCAGAAAACAAATTCTGGAACTAGAGCCACTATCCAGAGACATTTATTTTCCTCTTGGATGCAAGACTGAGTTGATAAAGGTTCAAGCTGGCTGGCCTCCCTGGTCTCCCATGTGGATTTACTGGTTCACGTAGTCAAGAAATCACATGAATCCATCATTCACTGCACATATGATGCATCTTGTTCGGTTGGAATACGAAATAGGAATTTAAGTAGACAGAACTGTAATATCATTCTCACAGTCCAAACAGGCAAATCCCATGCTACAGCTTAAAGGCCATATTTGAAATAATGCTTGTTACTCCACAAAATAATCTTTCTCTATCCATCCTGTTAATCTGTTCACCCCCTGGCTGTTTTTGCTAGCTGCTTTTGTTGCTCTGTAAAATTAAAGCTCTCTTGCTTAAGAACTGTCCAATGAAAATGTGTCTGCCATGATCACTGCAAACATGTATCATTGCCTTTTTTAAAAATATAAAAGTATATACTGGAAACATTTAAGAATCTGATTATATCTCAGGTAAATCATTCACACTCTTTGCATCAGTTTCAGTTGACTTTGATTTAGACCTTAAATCTCTATGGAGGATCAAAGGAGGTTTTGTGTGAGTAGGTCATGAACACTGTGAGATGAACACTGAATATAATAATAATAATAATTTAATAATTCTGCATAGCCAAGAAAAGCAGGGTGGGGGTGATGATTATCTCATGAATATCATGGGGTTATGGTGCACCCAGCGTTCTCTTTATCGCTTTATGTTTCAGCAAAGCGTACGGTCATTTTGCCCACACAACGATACGCACATCTGAATAACCAGCTGATTTGAGCAATGCATTTATAAGATTTTTTATCACACATTTCTTCAAGGTAAATTCAAAACTGCTGTGGTATAAAGCTAGCGTAAGCTGTATGTAAAGCAAGTAGTGCAGATTCTCTCCTTTGATGTCTGGGTGCCTAAAACATCAGAGGGAAGAAATTCACTGCTTTTATAAAGTGGTAGCCTTGGTTATAGAGCAACTACCCCACATAGGAGCCCATTTTGGCTTTAAAGAGGTAAATAAAAGGTGTGAAATAAAACACACTTTGCCAACTCATGGTGAMATGAGGTCCCAGCAGGGAGAGGCTGTAGGCAGCTGCAATAAACAGTTCATAAACTGCTGAAATTCTCTGGCTAAATCTGGCCCAGCGATCAGAAGCAATGGAGAAATGAGATTTGAAAATTCTTATTTCTCCTTTAGCCCTCTGCAAATGCTGGGGAAAAGAGGAAGTAATTTAACTTGTGTTGGATTAGTCTCTTGCTTGCTAATACACAAAACACAGCAATGCACCATTGGGTTAATTTTGTGCGGTCAGTTTTCCAATTAAAAAATCTTGATTATTGATTTACCCTCAAGTTATCCTCTGCAACAAAGTGCTTTAATGAAAAATTTATTTAAGCAATTCCCKTTATAAAACTTGCTGAAAATGCTGTATGCAAAGTAATTAACAGTTTGCAGTACCTGGCCTCTTGTTTTTATGCTATGCAGCCTTTTCAAATGTGACCTGCTGAAAGCCGTTGTGTAAACTCACTGCATGTTTTATTTCCTTTTTYATTTCCTGCGCCCAGTCAAATGTCTCTGCAGACAAAGAGAGTCTTCGTGTTTCCTCGAGAAAGAAAGAAAACCAGAGCATCCAGGAGTGCGATTCTCAGGACGTAAGTTGGACCCGCTTGCAGGCCAGGTTTTGCACGTAGACTGCATGAAAATATTAAAATCTTAGGGACAGATGGAAACACAACCGTGCACATGGCTAGTAGTGGACCTGCTGAGGCACCAGGGTGGGAGCTCTTAGCACTAATCCCACATATATTTAATTTGGAGGTAGCTGGGTGGTTTGCTGGTGGTCATCAGAGCAATGGAGAGCCCTCGGAGGGAGGTCAATACCTAAGGGATTGTCAAAAGTCATCTGTTCCATTTATTTGTTGAGCATCGATGTTCATCAACTGCAGAAGAACATATAACATTTCAGATTTTAAGGCAAAAGAGGTAAGGCAAATTCTAAGGCAAAAATTTTAAGATTTTAAAAAGATTTTAAGACAAAATAAGGTAAACAGCTGGCTGGTTGTTCAACTGGTTGTCCACGTGACTGACCACCTCTCTAATTGATTCTCATTTGTTGACCCTGTTGCAACTTTTCTTTACAGCTTTAGTAGTATATAATGTAGTTCATGCTGGAACGTAGACAAATGAAATTTTATTTACAAATGGGATACAGGCAGGCCAAGTTAAATGAACTCTTGAAATTTTGATGTTTCTGACACCTTTGCTGTCACAATGTTTCATACAGGACTTGTAGTTGTAAGTAGACAGGACATGCTGTAATTCAAAATTCTGGTTGCTCAAATCATCTGAAATTTGTCCGTGAAAATAAGGCTATAATATCTTAACTCCAGAATCTTTCAAAAAGTGCTGTTGCTCTTGAAATTTATTTTTGCCAGAGCAATTGCCTCAGTATTTTTCTTAGTCTTGTTGGAGACCTTTCTCTTACGACTGGCTCCTGAAGGTCTCTGTGCATAAATCTGAGCTCTTACTGATGAATCATTTCCCTCCTCTCTTGTGAAGACCCATTGCCATTACCCAAGAATGTACTTTACCTGCTTACCATATCAAATAATCCTTATGCGAGTGACACGTCACTTAAAACCATTTCTTTGATAGTGTTAAAACATCAGATGATTTACAAAATGCTTCTTTGTTTCCTCCTCTCCCTGTAGATTTCTTGCTCTTTGTCCTTGCGGAGTCTTTTCTGATAAATAAAAGCGATGGTGCTTTTATTTACTGCCTTAATTTCCTGCAGTAAACAAACACTGCATATTCATTAATCACTCGGTGACAGAGGACAGAGAGTATTGGACCAAAACATACGCATGTTCCTAAGCAACCACTCCATTTAGCTTCATTTTCCTCTGGGTTTCAGTCGCGGAGCTTTGATCAAATCGTACTCTCACTTTCCCAAAGGAGTAATGAGAGGGGAAAAAAAACCTCATTGCAGTAACAAAACTCCAACATGATGAAATTCTTAAAATTAATTCAGTAATTCTGTTCCCGAAATGAAGGCTATGAAGGTCATAGAAAGTTAAATCCATTTGGTTGTACCAACTACTCAATACACTGTGTGCGCTGCGGTAAGAATGAGGTATGAAAAACTGCARGGGTGTCTTATGAAAATATATATGCACTTGGAATGCATCTTGCACCTTATCTTAATAAACAGGGAGGGTCATGTGAGGTTAATATATAGATCTATTACATGTTCACGAGCAGAGCAGATAAAATCTGTCCTTGAATAAACTGTAGACCCAACTTGGCTAATAATGTTATTTACCCTGCAGAATGGTGTTTTAAGAGAAGAACATCTATCCTGTTTATCACCATGCCTGTACCATGTTAGTATATATATATGTATATATTTGATTTTGAAATCCAGGTTAATGTGGATATGGATATAGCTCTTGTACATTTTAAGGGAATATGTTGTCAGTGCTGTATAAAAGAGCTATTAAGAGAGCGTTCCATGGAAATATGGGAGTTATTGTGACGGGAGAAAAATGAGGGAATAAAATTTCAAGTTACGTTCAACAGTGGGCATAACTGCTTGCAGCGCTGCTGACTTTGCTGAAGCTGAACAGTATGTGSTAGCGCAGAAATCTTTCCTCCAGATGATCTGTTTGTCTCCTGTTCAGAAATTGGAAGCTTGGTAATATTCCCAAGCAAAATAAAGGGTAAGAAATTTGAAAATATCTACTCAGCTTAGGAAGAACAGATTGTGAAAGGGAGTTGTGTATTTCAAGTATAAAGAGCTCTTCCCCTTCTGTGAGTTAAGTTGATCAATGTCCTGACTAGCGGGCGAATCTCCCACATTTGGACTGGTTTTATCAGACACTGCTCAGCGGTTTGTGGATCAATTTGGGTAGTTTAATAGACAAGGGCGTGCAGAATTTAACTTCCTTTTGAGGATTCTCTTTAAATGAAGAGGCAAACTTTATAATTTACACACCCAGCTGTGAGTGGTGCAGCTCTGCTGTGTAAATCACTAGGTGAAGTGAGCRTCACAGCTTATGAATTTGGGTTATCCTATCTCGTTAAATATCTCACTTAACTGTTCCAGGTGTTTTGAATCCTGCTGAACATACAAAATGCATGCATGCCTTGAGGCAAAATGCCCCGTAGTACTTTGCTTTGTGAATGCAAATAAAGAAATCATTAATATATTTCTTAAAGTTCAAATAAAGCTAGTAACATGAGCCCGAAACGCCGCTAAATTCAGTCTGCCCAAGTATTTTTCTACTGTGTAGAAGAAAACCAGAATAAACCTTCTCCTCTCTTTGTATTAAGGACAGCCATAAAAATTACAGTTTGTGACAAGATTCAATTTTAGAGATAGTAAGAAGAAGATACACAGTTGGATGAGATCAAATAACAATAAAATCACAAAACAGACTGGCCATCTAGCAAATAGACTTGGATAAAGATTTCTGTAATGTCTTTTTTTCCAGAGGCTTTTTCCTTGGGAGAGGCTTAGCTCTCACCTCCCAAATTTCTCCCTGCAGTATATTAAAGCTTTTAAAAACGAATGCTCAAGCACTTGGTCCTGCCTGATGCCTTATGCTCAAAATGCAGCATATGTAGCTTAATGAATAAAATGCTGTGCTATAAATAAGCCTATAAATTGCAAAAAGTGTGGCAGGCATACTTGAAATCTCAATGAGAGCGTGACATAGTAATGGCAAGGGGAAGAACACTTCCATAAATAAAATATACAGGCTGCTCTGTTCAAGTAATTCATTTGYGGATAAAGCTCTGCAATCGGTCACTAATGGCTAGGTGCAGCACATTAAATTATTATAATTTTTATTATAATAGKGTAATATTAGGGAAAGGGGGGGAAGCTTCAGAGAAATTAATCTTTCTGTCTTGTTAGATTCAGGGATTGTATTTCTGAAGGGGATTAGCTCAGCCTTCCACCTCCATGTCTTTGGTCAACAGCCAGCTGGACTCCTTTAAACATGAAGTATATATATGTATTTAGTGCCTAGATATATGTGCGTGTGTGTATATATATATATATATGTATTTAGGTTCATTCCTACTATTCGCCTACTAATTTATTTGTTAACAATGTCAGAGATTTCACAGTGACAAGGAATCAATAATTAATGTTGTTTTGGCAGCGCAGTTGACTGCTGTGTCTAGAAAAATGTCCCGCTCTGCTCTCTTTTACTCAGCTCTGATCTCCCTCATGCACTTCTAGAAAGGGTAAAAACTGTGAATTGAAAAAATAGGAAATAGTACAGACCCTCACTGCTGTTTGCCGACTGAGATAGCCCTTAATAACTGGTCTATGAAAAGAACTATAAAGGACTAATCACTTATAAAGCAATATTTTTATCAATATATATTTTATTTTTATTGTGGTAAGGTAAGCATTTCTATTTTTTATTATGCTAAGGTAAGCATTTCTCTTCAGTATCACTTAAATGGCTGCCCTCCCATATTTTTATTAATTTCAGTCAGTGTCTTTTGATTTCTGTCTCTGCGTGTTTCCTTTGAGAGGTGACCTGAAAATTTTGGTGGATTTATAAAGTGACTTTAAATTTCACTAGTTTTGCTTCTGTCCTCTTCCTTAAATAACCTGAGGTAGTGTTGCTTTTTTGATCTCTTGCACCTTTTTCCCCCAAGCTGCTCACTTGAAGTCTCCAAAATCCTCAACATTTTCCTAAATGCAGTTAAGTTGAAAATGTTTTTTTCTCTCGCTCCATAAATAGATATATTAAATACCAGTTTTACTTGGAACTGAAACTTTAAAATGTTAAAAAATTATTTTAAAATTTTCCTGTCAGTCATCTCACTCCTAAATGTTTATCTAGAACGTTAACTCAATACTTATATTTCTTGGTGTTTGTTTGTTTTCTGTAAGAAAAGCAATGGATGCTTTATCATTGGATTAAAAATGATTTWTTTTTCTAATCAACACTATTTCAAWTGTATCAGCTCAAATGATCACTTTATTAACTCAAACATGACTGAAAATGCCCTGAAGTGCTACTTGGCAATACCGTGGACTTTCTCAAAGATTTCAGTAGAGAGGCAGTAGCCCCCTCTTGTAGTCGTTTTTGTAATAACACATTTCATTTTCTTCTTCATATCTCTCCATAGATTAACTTTGTCATAGGCAGGGGGCTGTCAGAATTTCTCAAAAGATTTTTCTCAAAATTGATACRTTTTCTTCCTTCTTTACAGTTGCTTGTTTTTTGATCAACTCCAACCTGATGTCACGTGTACAAAGCATATTTAGACATTTTCTGGATATTTGATTTGTGTGCTGGGAGGTTTATTATTATAAGTGGTCTTGGCTGGGTTAGGTCATTTTTATGCTGCTATGCTATAAGTTTCTGTTGGATGAACTTAGACTAAATTTATTTTATATACAGCATTTAAGCATTTTTTCTGCCTTTCGTCTGTGTTCGTGATTCCTTTGCCCTACACAGTGCATATAGCTAATCCTGTCCTAGGCCAGTGTTGTCAACCATACACTTTTGAAATATTATGGCAAGTTGCAGAAATGCCAGTAAACTTGCTAGTGGATATTACTGGGAGTAAGTACGCATTCATGTTAATATTGCTGTGAACATGATTTCTGAGCCTTATTTTTASCAGTATAGTGAACATCTGATGTCTAAAAATATTCTAACTAGGTATGACTTAGCTTTGAAAATTTTCAAGAACTGATATGAAACAGGGAGCATTTCAGAGGAAGTTTTATGTCAAATTTAAAATAAGCAAATTTTTGGTTATATTGGAAGGAGTCTTGATGACTTTAAAATTGGAAAGAAGTTATTTCCCCTTTCATAAGCTTTTAATTTCAAAATAAGCAGAAAAATTCCAGTGTRAACATTATTTTAAAGTAATGGCTAAAGGTTACCCATATTTTACTACATTTCATACTTTAATTTCTTAAAAGAGGAAAAATCCATGCAAGTACTAAGKTTTTTTTTTAGAGCCACAGTAGACTACATGCGAATGATGGCAGAGTGGGATTCCCTTGGCTATTAGAACTTCTCTTTTTCCCTGCACCTCATCAACTAGGCTAAGAAAGCATGGCAAATATTTCAGGAAAATTGTACCCGTTTTGAGCAAGAACAGGCTCCTTTTGGGTAGTTACGGCTGACATCTGTATTTTGCAGGTTGGCAAGACGTGTTTGGGGAACCGCAGTAATTCAACATCTCATTTGAAGGCAGCGGAAACAGAGACCAGCTTTCAGGTATTCCGTTTCTGAAATTGTCAAGGTTTTAACAAAACGTCTTGTAAAATGTGCAATTATTTGCAAACACAAAAAACAAACAAACAAACAAAAAAAAATGTTGTATAAACATGAAGTACATGTAYCCATTCTAAGCTAAAACAGAAACAGAGCTGCTTATTTAATTCAGTGTAAACTAGCTATTTTCACTGGATCTGTTCAAAATAGCTCTTTGTTATCATCCATTTGGAGAACTACTTAATGTTTGAAGAGTATCATAGCGGTCCTASAGTCATAGTAGCCAAACATTAGCCACTGTTTTCTTACATACGTGCCTATCACCTGTGCCGCGCTTACACCAATGCTATTTTCACCTTCAACAGAAGTTGCACAGCCCTCCGTGGACCAAAGCTGAAGATAAAAAAGCCCCGGAAAGAAATGAGAGAAAGTTTGACGAGGCTGTTAGTACGAACGAAAAAACAACTCTAAGCGTTACTAAACTCCATTAAAAACATCCTTCACTTGCTCCCATCCTCATGTTCTTTTTAGTTCAGAGGCATGAATGTACCAGGTTTCTGAAGCATGCATTTTTTTTCCCACTGTTTTATGAATGTTTGTAAAATAGTCTAGACTAGACCAATTAGTACCTTGAAGCAATAATCCAAAATGAGTGTTGGAAGAAATGCTTTGTAACACAGTCCAGGTTTGAAATAGAATTCTACCCTGATCACTAGTTGCCTATTAGGAATTAGTTGGTTCCATCCTCAAGTATCCAGCTGCCATTCTCAAGGACCATCTTTAGCATCTCTTGTACTTCTTGTACCTTTACAGCAGATTTAGGATTTAAGTCAAGTGAAGAATAAAAGGCAGTTAACATGGAAAAGATATTTAAAAATCTTAGYAAGCCTTGTTTTGGAGTACAGTGCAACTCATCAGAATAACTGTAAAAATGGACCAGTAAGGACCCATGTATATCTACATTTCAGTCATGCCATTCCAYATCTGCTTCCTTAAACAATAAAAGATGTTTGTTTCTTTGTTTTTTTCCGTAACTGCTATCACTTATGAGCCACATTTTGATCACACAAGTGGTGAAATGGAGAATTAAAGGAGTGGAGGTGGGAAGAGTTGCGGCTTTCAGGATTCAAGCAAAAAARTTTGCATGTGGAACTGGATGAAAAATTTCCAGCTCAGATCCCAGTCAGATGGGGATTCAGTTCCCACCTTGCGGTTGTGCTAGTCTCAACGGGATAGATAGATTTTCAATGATAAAAAATGGAACATGCGGCTTCCTAAGAGGTGATCCCTCTGCTTTCTGGGACTTCTCCGTGTCTTTCTGGGACTTCTCCGTGTCCGATTGTCTAGGAATTCACCCCTCTGCTTTCTAGGAAATTTTCTGATGCTTTCTAGGAAATCAACCTGCTTTCTGAGGATATGCATCACCTATTTGCTTTCACAGTTTCCTAAAGCAACTTTATTTGCACAGTGGAATAAGAAAGAACATCCCCAAACTCCCTATTTTGTGCACTAACACAAAAAGAAAGATAAAGAGAACTTTATTTTTGGACATGATGCTAAAGCTCTGCTGCTCTCTCTGTGCTCTCTCATGATTAATAGCCCAATTTTATAGACTTGGTTGCTGTAATTAATGTGAACAGCATGAGATTAGAATTATTTATTGGTGCCTGTTGACCAAGCTATGTTGAACTAATTGAAAGTAAACAAAAGTGACTCTTTATTTGAAATCGTTGTCAGAAATGTTTAGAGCTCAGAAGAAATCGTAGACTAAAAGTAGCAAAACCAGCACTTGGGGCCATACTTAGATCCCTACATAAACAGGGGAAAAACAGGTCCATTTAACTGGAAATGCTGGGTTGCCAAAAAGGAAGTGCAAGTATTAAGGTTGTTGTTAAAATATTAATCTTATTTATTATTCTTATTCAATTCTAGCTGCTAGGAGAGGAGAATTTCTGTCCTTTGTGTAGATTWCCTATCTTGAAATGTGCTGTCATTCTTGAGAGCAATGATTTTAAGTGAAAATTCTGCAAACCTAAAATTGGAAAATATCCAAATATTGTACTTGATAATATCAAAGCATTAGCAAAAGAAGAATAAAATATACAGCAGTCATGATTGTGTAATCAATGCGTGTATGAATGTAAAATATATAAATTATTACGTATAAAGAATTATTAAGAAAAAATGAACAAAATGACAAAATTGTAATATTTTGAGTACGATAAAAAGAAATATTGGGTGACATATCTGAAATACTACTTTTAGTTTGAATTGATGGATTTCTGAAAGAAATTCTGAGCGCAACAAAATTGCATTTTTGAAAAAAAAAAAAAAAAAAAGATCGGCCAGATCTAATCTTAATCATAGCTTAAATATAAAATAGGGCCTTTCCAATCTGCAGCTTGCATCTGAACTCTCACATTGGCTTGCACAAGTTGAGTGCAGGTGCTTCTTTCTTTTTATGTTACCCTGATGGGGGAAAGTTAATTGCTCAAATTATAGCCTAAGCCAGAAGGTGTAGGAGCTTCATTAAGTAGTGCCCATGGTAAAGAGCCACAGGTGCCTTTCTGAGCATTCAAGGATTTTTTTTTTAATAAATATGTACAATATTAAAACACAAAGCTGCATTTCTGCTCGTATTTGGAAAAGGCTTTTTTTTTAAATAATTAACTTCACACCAGGTACTGATAGACATAAAGAGATAGACATAAAGACATAAAGCTTATGTGCCTAAAGGGACTGTTGGCCAAATGCCACATCTTTTTTCCAGTTGGTCTTTGATATATTATTCATATTTRTTTTAAAATTTTTGGATCTAAGGAAAAGGGGACCAAGCTGTTATCTCCGTTTGCTTTATTTAAATCTGGTTTCAAATTGCTTTTAGTCATATGGTGCCTTCAAAACGCAAMTTACTTTTGTTCTAAAACTGAATTCATGTTTGGAGGGGTAAGTACTGAGTTAACGGGCAAAAATGGGACTATATTTAAATAAATTAATTCCTGATGAGGCTAAACATCCCTAAACAAAATAATATAATTGGGAATAAGAAAACTTGGKTTTTATGTTGGCATATTTTTGCTTTGGGTGATATGACTGAGATACCTGTGGAAAATCCTGCCAAAAAAAAATGTGTTTTCTCTTGTTTCATGTAGCTAGCTAAAATATATACTTAAATATATTCCAGAAAATGTAAACCTTAGCACAACAATTATTTTGTTACAATAATAAAATGAGCTACAACTCACTCCTCACACATCTGCCATTTATTATTCCAAACTGGAAGCACATTCTTGTTTTTTCTAATGCGTGTGTCTGCGTTTAAATACTAACAAAAACAAGTGAACAAACAAGGCATTTGATCACTAATAGATTTACAAAATATACGGATTTTTAAAAGCTACAAATGCTTTTGAGAGAAAAATATTGTGAATTGCACTGAGCATAAATTAAAAATGAAATTTATGTGCTCACTGGAAGAAATTTTGGCAGATGTTGGTAAAAGAAAAAAACACCACCAGATATAGAAGTAGAGATTGTGGATTTAAAAGAGGAAAAAGTGGGAAAGAATTTTATCTTATGCATGTGGCAAAAGGATTTACACAATCCAGAATCCCCCTGCCTATTTCAAAGTCCTTCATTCTAGCAGATGGTGATGAGTCCTAACATTTAAATATGCAGCTTGTATTTCTTTTTTCACTGCTAACATTTTTCTTGACTATTTATGTTTTAAACATATATATCTTTTTTTCTTTTCTTCATGTCCTTTTTTTTTTTTWAAAAAAAAACATACTGCAATGTTGCCTTAAAGTGATGGGTATTGGATTCACTTTATAGAGTTTCTCTTCCTTTTATTTCACATCTGGGGGCAAAGAAAATAATTCAGACAGTGACTCTGGGACAGAAGTATTTTGTTTTGTTGGGAGATGTCGATCTAATGCTTCTGCTGTGCTGCCTGGTAAGGAAAAAGGTGTATCATGGAAATGAGGGGGAAAAGGAAACGTGCATTGCTCTTTTGCAGTTAATAACAGAGTAGGCAAAGGATCGTGAAAACTGAAAGCACAGGTAACTAGAGAGAGGATCATAGGGAAAATTGTGGGAAAAGTATAGGGAAAAAACAAACCTGCCTCTCAACTCGATTTTTTTTTCATTAAAAGTGTTTCTATGTTAAGGAGGAGAAAGCAAAAATTGTCTCACTGATGTTTTTCTGGCAGGCACTGTTGAAAATTTCTAACGTATAATATTTGTAATATCTCATTAATTTAAGAATCCTGTTTTGTGGTTTTCTCCCTGCTGCCAGAGTGGTTAATTAGAACTCCATTTATAGAAACAAAGAGTCTTTGCCAATCATGGAACATCTTTTCCATGTTAATTAAGCAAAGGCATAGGAGAAGCCTGGGAAATCACTATGCATTGCATCTATCAGAAGCGGGGAAGATGTGCTGTTGAAAACTATGCAGAGTGGTAGTTTGTGCCATCTTCTCTTCCTTATAGGATTTTTATTAAGTTTTGGGGCAGCCAAATTTCTCCTTGCCATAATGGCAAGCTATGGCCGCTGACAGAAGTTCATAATCAGATGTTTTCTAGAATGGCATAACACTGTGTGTCTTTGAAAAACTTCAGGCGATATTGCAGTGCATCAAAGATTTCCTTGGGCTTTGAGAGATCTATTTGAGTGCCTGGGTATCCCCAGAAATTTAAATTTGAGCTAAATCAAAGTGTCGTCTTTGGAATGCTGGGCAGAAATATCATTTCTGTTGGGAGTATATTGATTATACTTAAGTGTTCAATGGAACCTAAGAGAATACCTGTTTGTAAAGGCAAAATTTCTTTCCTTTCCT